AATTTCTCTTGTCCTTGAGGCTGGAGATCTCTTTGGTCAGGTGCGCTGTGGTCTCGCGACCGTCCTGCGCGCGCTGGCCACCGCATGTCGCCCGCGTGCTGCCGGTGCGCAGCAGACACGGCCACAGTTAGGCACGAGAGTTATGAGTGCCCTGGTTTCTACAACGATGTGCCTGATGATATTTTTTTTTGTTTGCCGATGGGGGCATTCAACTGCATTGGTGGAAAGTCTGGCAACAGCAGCAGCGTCACGGAATGACAGACACACAGGCAGAAGTGCACAAGGATGAGGAGAACCCTTGCAGCGACCTATTCTAAAACAATTGGAATAGGTCGGACGAGCTGCCTTCAGAGGAGGAGGAGGAGGAGGAGGAGGAGGGTGATGTGCCTGATGGTCCTGATCTCATGTGGGGCCCAGAGCTCGAGCATGTTCGCTCTCGCCCCGTGAGTGAGGGTCGGCCAGGGGCAAGGCAGCCACACTGTGACGAGGTCGAAACCTCCGCGGGGATGCCCCGGACCCCCCTGGTGCCTCCTTCTGCTGTTGACAGGCTGGATCTGGAGTTCTGGGGCGAATGGCGTTCGGACTCGAGTTCCTGGAGTAGTGTGTGTGTGTGTTATACTGATGGATCTGGCGTGGCCCCAAGCTGGCCAGAACTGCGCCGTTGTGGGTGATGTGTTGGTCCAGCTGGATGACAGTGGGATGCCCGTTAGAGCCATGTGTGGGCTCCTTTGGGGGCCGATTCAGACCGTGGGTAGAGCTGAAAGGTTTGCGGTTCTCCAAGCCCTCCGACATCTGCCAGGACTTATCTTAGTTGTTACTGATTTGTTGGGCCTCGTGCGAGAGGCAAACAGCTGGTCACACGAACTGGCTGATTCGCAGGCGGCCTATGCAGATATTTGGCACTCCATCCTGGCAGTGTTCCCTGGTGAAGATGGTCGCCCGAAGTTCCTATGGTATCCTGCCCATGTCACGGACGCAGACTACGCCGAGGCTGAGGCACGCAAAATGGCACCATGGGAGTTTGCATGGGCAACATATGGGCTGACTACTTTGCTAAGCCATGTGCACCTGTCCATGCCCAGCCTGAGACGATAGTCAAGCACTTCGAGGCAAGAATGCAGGATTGTCGGATGCAGGCGAGTTTCTTTGCCTGGGCTGCGGCCAAGATGGCGGCTCGTGATCAGATCAGTGACCGACCAGAACAATTCCTGAAGGCCCATCGTGATGTAGTGCCCCGCTTAGGCCTCACTGCACACAAGATGGCGGTTAGGTCCCCGCAAGTTTTCCAATGTAAATATGGTTTTGCGGCTGCCCGTACGCAGGCCAGTCTTGAGAAGCTCCTCGGGACCCAATGTATGCCCACGGTCAAAGAGAGGCTGAAGGCCAACGCCGACCTGGAGCTCCAGACGGCTCCACTCTGGAGGTCCCAGGCGGTCAGCTTTGCCCTCAAAAGGGCGGCGGAGTTTGTAGGATATGAGTTGCCACAGAATGCTCAGCCGAATGTGGATCCAACGCCTGGGGCTGACGACATCGTCGTGCTCCGAAGGCACCTTGTATTGGTGCTGCCCTGGGCGATGGTGTGCACTTCGTGCGGTTCGTATCAAGTGCCCAATGGCAAAGTTGCGAATTGCAAGCTGCAAGAACACTGTGTAAGGGCGGCGCAGCACGGCCCGCCCCGTTATAATCCGACCTATGCGATCTATGCGATTAAGGCTGGTCGCCACCCCAAGGCGGGCATTTCTACAAGACCTGCCTACATTCACTGTGTTGGGCTCGTGCCCCCGTCCTCGGCTGCACGACGTGGCCTGGCGCTGGTCCTCCTCTTCCTTGTCCTCCTCTTCCTCCTCCTCCTCCTTCTCCTCCTCCTCCTCTTCCTCCCTCTTCCTCCTCCTCCTCCTCCCTCCTCCTCCTCCTCCTCCTCCTCCTCCTCCTCCACCTCTTCCTCTTCCTCCTCGGCGGGAAGGGGCTGCTGGGGGAGGAATGGGGCGAGTGGAGAGGCGCCCTCGAGAAGCGAGCGGGGGAGGGGGGGGAACAGGGGAACAAGGGAGGGGGAGGAAAGGGGAAGGCGAGAGGGGGATGATGGGGGAGGCGGGGAGAGGAGGGGGAGGAGGAGGAGCAGCAGGAGAGGGACCAACTTGGCCAGGTCGGACTCGTCGGCGGGCCCCGCCCGTTCCCCCCCCCCCGCGGAGCACGAACACCAAACGTGGCACGACTCGATGTTGGGATTGGAGCGCGTTCCGACCTAGCGTCATGTCGGGCGTGTCCCCCTACAGGGGGATGTTCGACGAAAAAAAAAAACATACCCCAACAATACCCCAAAAAGGTCCAACAAATACTGACACAATAATCCCCAGACTATTTAGAGCATTTTTGGATTATTTTGGGGGTATTTATTATTTTTCGTCGCAAATCCCCCCTGTCGGGGGACAGGCCCGCCTTAAACCTGGCGATAGGACAGCGCTGAAGGGACAGCGCTGGCGCGCGCGCGGCCCCGCATCCGACGAGCTGGCAAAAGGGAACGCTGCGCGGGCCGCCGCTTTCCATGGCAAAAACATCGAAACCCCAAAAAACCCAGAGCACCCTGGAGGCAGGCGGGGTGTTCCTTGGCATGGGCATCCACTGTAGCGCCCATGATGACATCAAACACGCAAGCGTTGTGCTGCTGTGCCTGACGCGCAGGATGGGCCCCTCCCCCTGGTTGGCGGGCCGTCGGCCCGCGGGGTGGCAAAGCCGGATTTTACGCGAGCATGGAAAAAACATGAAGCAGAGGAGCAAGAGGAGGGACATCGTCGTCGTCGTCGACATGGAAGGTCGACGGCACTGGCCGCGAAACCTTTGTTACAATCATGGGGCGGAGGAACAAGAGGAGGAACAAGAGCGGGAGAGGACGAACAACGCCAGCAGGACTCCGGCCCCGCGCGAGCACGAGAGCCCTCGCCATCGCTCGGACGTCCATTCCCTGTGTTTGTTTCGGTTTCGTGCGTGGCTCTTTCGCCAAATGATCAGGGATGCCCCTCGATGGCCCTTGCCGAAGGATGAATGCACACGTCCGAGCGATGCCAAGAGCCTCGGCGCCAGAAGCAGCAGAGGAGGGCGACACACACACACACACACACACACACACACACACACACACACACACACACACACACACACACACACACACACACACACACACACACACACACACACACACACACACACACACACACACACACACACACACACACACACACACACACACACACACACACACGCACAAAGCGCAAACGTCCGACTGGCCGCGCGGATCCCTCGGACCTCCGCGGGGCCCTCCTCCTCCTCCTCCTCCTCCTCCTCCCGCTCCTCCTCCTCCTCCTCCTCCTCCTCCTCCTCCTCCTCCTCCTCCTCCTCCTCCTCCTCCTCCCACGGGAGCGCGGGGCGCGCCACGGGGCCACGGCACTGGGAGGCCAGCCAGACGAGCGTTGACGGTCGCGCAGAGGTCCGTCCAAGCCGGCACCTCCAGGTCGTCCACGCACCAGCCTTCGAGGCAATGCAGTCTGGCCGATCCGCTTTCCGGCCCCAACTCCGCCGTGCCCGCGACAAGGGCCACCGTGGGCCCAGTCACGGCTCGCCACCTCGCATTGGCCTTCTTCACAGGAAGAAGATGGTATTGGAGGCCCAGAGATGGGCACCAACACCAACACATGGGGCTGCCTCCACAGGGGGGAGATGATCCTAGATTTCGGTCTTGGTGGTACTACTTCGGTCACCTTGGAAGCCAGAATATTACCACCATCACCGAGATCGGGATCTTCTTCCCTCGGTGGAGGAACCCCGCCGATCTTGGTGTTGGTGTCAACCTCTAGGCCTGCGGTATTGGCCTTCTTCCCAGGAAGAAGATGGTACGCCTGCTGCCATCCGTGCCGCAATATGTGTCGTAGTGGCTACCGCCGCTTGAAGCAGCTTGGCCCGCTCCGTGTAGCTTGCCGTCTGATGGCCGAGGACACAGGGCCAGAAGGAGGAGGAGGAGGAGGAGGAAGGGGAGGAGGAGGAAGGGGAGGGGGAAAAGGGAGGAGGGGAAAGGAGGAGGAAGGAAGGAATGGAGGGGAGAGGAGGGGAAGGGGAAGGGGCGTGCGGAGGAGGCAAGGCGAAGTCATCCTTCTCATCCAATCCACCCCCTGGCCTCCCCTGCCGTGCCTCTGCCCTTCCATCACCCTCTGGGGCCCTTCCCAGGAGGGGATCCGAGACACTCGAGAGGCGGTGCGTGGGGGGGCCCACAGGCGGCCGCTGCAACAGAGAGCGCCCGCGGGGTGGGGAAGCAGCGGAGTGCGGTTGCGCGGCGCACGGCGCTGCGCCAAAGGAGGAGGGGGGTCAGGAATGCCGATGGGTATCATAGCGTACCTGGGATCCTCCGAAGGACACCCATCGTGTCATGCACAATCCGAGGAAAGGGGAGCTGTGTAGACTGGAGGAGGGCGGCGGATGAGCAGGAGTGAGGAGGAGGATGAGGAAGCGGGGCGAGGAGCAGCAGCAGCAGCAGGACCAGCGAGGCGCGGAAGGACCACGGGGAGCGCGGGGGAGGGGAAAGGACGGAGCCGGCAACGGCGGGGAAGGGCTCAGATCCAGAAATGCGGTCCGCGCTGGGGCGCGAGCGCCATTCTGAACGACGGGAGCGAAGCGCTGATCCTGGAATGAGACCAACGGTGCAGCGGGAGCGCCGTTCTGGAACACCGGAACGTCCTCTTGGACAAACACATCCGACTTGAGAGAAAAAGATAACACGTGTTTGAACTTCAGAACATAATGCAACACAGAGAGGGCGGGATATCCCCAAGACGTAGTCAGGGGGCCCGGGGGGGAGGTAAGCAGTGGTCGCACCGAGTAGCTGTAGAAGGATGGACGGGGGAAGGGAGAGGGGGAGAGGAGAGAGGAGGGGGAGGGGAGGAGGGCGCGGGAGGGTGCAGTGGTAAATTGAAAATATGGCTCGATGAACAACTAAAAGCAACGGTCCAGCAGTCCTTCTTTGCCACCTTGACCGGCTCCGGCTCTAGCGCCAATTCCGATGCTCTAAACCTGCTCAGCCAAGAGGACAAGCAACCATTATTTCCGTTTTTCTTCCTCTCGTCGTCCTCCTCGTATTCTCATTGTTCATGCTGTTACTGCCACGTCCACAACTACTACAACTGCTTCAACCATCCACACGCCTGCGACTAGGACTACGACGTCTTCAATCAATACAGGCACGACGACGGCATACTACTGCTCCAACTCGCTGCTCGTACATCTGCGTTTGCGCCTAACCCTGCGCATAGTGCTACCAAAACAAGCACCACTAGTACTACCACCTATGTCCACGAACTGCTCTGTTGCTAGTACTGACTGCTGCACATATACCAGTCCAAGTCCGGAGCAATCGGGCTGCGAATATTAGAATTTCTGCGCATGCTGGCTGAGTAGTATTCGAAGTGGGAGACTACCTCGGCGCGTTGGTCACCATGGAGAAATTGTATACTCCTGCTTCCAGCGTGCATCCGGTATCCCGACGAGAAAATACGACTGAAGTTGCTGCTGAACACGCACCCAGCCCACACGCGTTACACCACCAGGGACCATCTGTCCTGAGTCTAAAGATGATACAACAAGACAGCACATGGTGCTGTAAAAGACCACTGAACTCGTAGAGACAACAGATGCCCCCAGGATAGCCCCGACGTGACGATGGCGATTGTGCCTGGGGCCATGGCGTGACTGGCTGGCGCCGTAGGCACAATCCAAAGTCCCTCAAACGTTCAAGGACTCTGAGAAGGTGCTCGAGCATCCTCGCGACGAGGGTCGCCGTGTTCCTCTCCCAGCCGACCCTGACTCCAGCTCCGCCCTACTTTGGCTTTTTTTCCAACTTAAAATTGCGTTGGACATCCACCTATAAGAAGCCGAACAAGTAGGGCGGAAATTTCTGCACACAACGTAAAGTAGGGCGGAGATCCGCAGAAGTAGGGCGGAAACAGCACCAGAAGAGTGGGGCGGAGATTGGCATCAGCGGGGCTTGAGAAGTAAGGCGGAAATCCCAAGCCCTACTTACGAATTTCCCAAAAGTAGGGCGGATCCGGAGTCAGGGAAGGATTTCCAAGGAGGCCCCCCACGGCCTCCAAAGCACCCCTCACAAAGCAACCCGGCACCTGTGGCAACCCCCGTAGGAGAGGGAGGAGGAGGAGGAGGAGGAGGAGGAGGAGGAGGAGGAGGAGGAGGAGGAGGAGGAGGAGGAGGAGGAGGAGCACCCCTCACGAGGCCCAGAGGGCCACAGGGGCTCCCCGATCGACGTGGCAAACTGCGAGCGTCTCTCGATGTTCTCTTGGCTCGGGGCGCCACTCGCTCTGCCGGACGAGCGGACGCCCGGGCGGTCCGGGCGGTCCGGGAGGGGGGTTCGCAGATCGTGGGCGGAGGAAGGTGCGCGGACGAGGCGGGACCATGCCCTGACTCCGGATCCGCCCTACTTCGGGGAAGTTCGTAGGTAGGGCCTGGGATTTCCGCCTTACTTCTCAAGCCCCGCTGATGCCAATCTCCGCCCTACTCTTCTGTTACTGCTTCCGCCCTGCTTCTGTGGATCTCCGCTCTACTGTATTTTGGGTGCAGAAAAATCCGCCCTACTTGTTCGGCTTCTTGTAGGTGGATTTCCGACGCAATTGTAAGTTGTGGAAAAAAAGCCAAAGTAGGGCAGATCTGGAGTCAAGGTGTAAGAAACCAAACTTTATACACCGATGTTTTTTTTTCTGGTCCCGCACTGAGACTCGCACAAGAGAACTGATTCTGGTGTATACGGCATCCTGGTGTATACATGTTTTGCTGTTTCCACGGGAGAACTGGGATAGAAATATACACCACACCACCCCGACGTCGTCCCCGACACTCAAAAAATCCTGGGATTGAAAAACAGCCCGCCACTGGTAATGTATACGTTCCAGTTTCCGACCATGGACGCGCTGAAATAAAAAAAGGGGGCCATGAGATCCAGGGAGATCTCATGACCCCAGTCATGCTATCCACACGCCCCCCCCCCCGACAGTCAACGCGTAGAATAGGGACACATGATGTTGATGCAAGGGCTAGTTATGGCAGGCCAAGTCGACGCCTTTCGCGCGGGGCGCGGCCAGCGAAAGTGGCAATGGATGTGCCGAAGGGGAATGATGCAAAGATTCAAAGGTGAACTTGGAAAATCGCTCATCCTTACTATGCGCTTTGACTGCAGTCATCACCCCCGTCGTAGACACTCCCGATATGCTTGCCTGGGTGCTGGAGGTCGGGGCGCTGGAGGGGCATCATGCTTTCACCCCCCTCCTCTCCTTCTTCATCCTCTCCTCCTCCTTCTCCTCCCTCCTCCTCCCCTCATCATTCCTCCTCATCCTTCCTCCTCATCCTCCTGTCCCTCCTCTCTTTTTCCGCCCTCCTCCTCCTCTCCTCCTCCTCCTTCTGGGTTGGGCCATGAACTGAGTCCATTGGCTGCTGAAGGACGTCTTCGCCCCGTGAAGCTTCCGTAAGGCCAGCCGCGGGATTGCCGAGAGGAACACAATTGGGAAATGCCTCCACGGGCTTAGGCGCCCACTCGCCTATAGGAGGAAGACGAGGAGAAGGAGGAGGAGGAGGAGGAGGAAGAGGAAGAAAGGGAGGAGGAGGAGGAGGAGGAGGAGGAGGAGGAGGAAAGGGAGGAAAGGGAGGAAAGGGAGGAGGAGGAGGAAAGGGAGGAGGAGGAGGAGGAGGCGAGGAGGAGGAGGGACAACCGCGGTAGAATTCGGCGCGAAGAAGACGAAACCGACGACGACGAGACGACGAAGGAGGACAGAGGGAGGAGGAGGAGGCGGAGGAGGGAGGAGGAGGAGGAGGAGGAGGAGGAGGAGGAGGAGGGGGAGGGGGAGGAGCAGGAGGGAGGAGGAGGCGTTTCTGGATTTCTGGATTGGCCACGCGCGCGCCTCGTGAGGACGCGAGGTCCAGGCAGCAGAGATAGAACGGCACTAGCACAACGACGACAACGGCGGACGACGACGGCGCGACGAGGACAACAGACGAACGAACGAAGCGACGCGACCTGCGACGCTAACGACGACGACGATAGCCAGCTGCGGCCGTACTGCAGCAGACGCGTCTTAGGCGTGGCGCCGTGGCCAAGGAGTCCCAGACAGCACAGCCACAGCATGCTCCGTCAGAGGACGAACAAAAGGCATATGGAGTCCCTCGTAGATTCCAGCACGGGGCTGCGCAACAATGGTTAAATCATAAATGTCTAGCATTGGGGTTGAAACCGTCCTGGTAGGACCAGGTGTCTGCGGATCGGAGACCCGTCGTGAACGGGTTGCACATGTGAGTGGCCGTACCACCACCACAGAGTCTATCCCAAGACAATGTGTTCCGAATGCCATTGACACCGCGGATGTGCAGGAAGCTGTCGAACCACAAGAGCCAAGGAGTTATGGGCAATAACCTGCGCGACGTACGTACGTTCGTGAAAGAACCAGGCAATGCCCTCAGGATCGTGAACCACGAGGCCGAACGCGAAGGAGGAAGAGCAGGAGAAACGAAGAACGAGGAGGAAAGAGAAGGAACGACGACGACGACAACGACGACGACCACGACGAAGACGACGACGACAACGACGACCGCTCTGTTCTGTTCTGTTCTGTCAGGCGTCCTGCAGGGGTGCCACCTGGGCCCGACGCCGCACGCAGAGAGCTGGAAATGCAGTCAGACTATGGATACAAAGCAGGCAAAAGAAGAGACGCACGATGGAAAAAATGGAAGACCAAGGCTGCGCGCAGAATGACGATAGAGGACATGCAACTCATGCGCAATCTTCACAAGGGGTATCGCGCCAAACTGCCAGGCCCCCGCTGGAGGCGACAATGGAGCGACATAGCCCCCACCAAAACAGATGGAGCGGTATACAAGGCACAAGGTGCTGGCAAATTCGAAAGGAATTCGGAAGAGATCGAGCACGGAGCCTAGAAAGTTCTGGCCTCCTTCACTTCTCCCGGTAGGATGCTTTCCATCAGTTCTCGCGTCTGGTGTGCCGCCTGTGTGGCGTGCTCCAGTTCCTCTTGCTCTCGCTGATACAATTGGAACGCGCTACTCCTTGAGACTTGCACCTCGTGGTCGAGAGATGACACGCTCAGGCTCCGCTGTGTACACTGAACCATGGAATTGGCCTCTAGGAACAGCTTCTTCGCAGCGCCCACCGAGCCCAGCTTATCTCGGAGGATTTGCTCCACGTGGTCGACGCTGCACCGTAAGACCAGGCGCGAAGTGGTCGTCAGCGCTGGATAGACCAAGACGGCCTCTGCCAAGGCCCCCCAGTCGCACGAGCGTAGTAGCTTGTCTATCTCCTCCCAAGCAGGCGGCCCGTCATCGCGGGGGCGATCTCCAGCATCACGAAGGCCAGCTGGCCCAGCAGGGCCCTCGCCGTGGACGGGTTCAGCAGCAAGTCCATCGGCCTGAACAGGGTCAGGCACCGCAGGTACATCGGCGCGCGCGAGTTCTGCAGCGGGGACATCGGCGCGAGCAGAGGCTGGCCCAGCAGGTACGCTGCAACGAACTGGCTCGTCAGCAAGTCCCTCGCGGCGGAACTCGTTCATCACCTCATTCTCCTCGAGAGCTTCCCCCTCCGCCGTTACGGCCAGGGAGTCCTCGGGAAGGCCATGGCCGGCAGGAAGATCGGCAGAATGACCGCCTCCAATCGTGACGATCTGCAGGAAGATCGGGAGGGAGATCCGCTGGCGCAGCGAGGGCCCCCTCCGCGGCCACCTGCGGTCGTGGGAGCGCCGTGCGCCCCTCGGCACGAGCAGGCTCAGCGACAGGTCCGTCCGCCTGACCAGGGCCCGGCCCCGCAGCTGCGTCGAGGCGAACTGGCTCGGCAGCAGGTCCACGAGCGCGGGCGCCAGCGGCGCGAGGGCGTGGACGACTGGGGACGCGCTGGTGATCACCCGCGGCTCCAGCAGCGACGCGAAGGCCAGGGTCAGCTTGCGGCCCGAGCTCT